TTTGTGGAACTGGGGGTTGAACTCAGGCCCTTGCGCTTGCCAGGCAAGTGCTTATTCTACTGAGACATCTCCCCAGCCCCAAATTTTAGCCTTTTTCTTTTTTCTTTTCAGAACTGGGGATTGAACTCAGACCTTTGTGCTTGCCAGGGAAGCGTTTATTCTACTGAGCCATCTCCCCGGCCCTTCCAACACAGTTTAACTCACCATGAGTTGATGGCTTTCCTTATTTGACTAACAAGCCAGTTGGAAGGTACTTCTATTGGAGATCAATTTTCAATTATTTATATCTGTGAAGAAATTCTGATGTGATAAGATATTCTGTTTTAAATGTACCACATTAGCTAATGCATTTCATTTAAAATTTCTAATTTTTTGACAGTGGTTCTATGTCTTGGAATATTATGGTGACTGCTTATGTTAATGTAGACATATATCATGGTTTACTTAGCATGCTTATGCAATGCTTTGTTAAGCAATTCAGTCACAGAAGAGTTCCTGTTCTATTACTGCTCAGCCTACATATTGGTGTCTGCTTCTCCCTCTGCCCAACTCTGCTTCTGCTGCTTCCCTTACAAAGGCATAGATACTAAATGACACCTAATAAAGTCTGTGTGCTCCTAACAGTCTCAGCGCCTGCTTCCAAGAGGAGGAGGAGTAGCCTAAGAAAGCAGGTGACATGAGGGAACTTGGAAGTAATGTTATTCTTTGCCTTACTGGCGCTGAGGACCTTATCACTGCTCAGAGCTACAACACAGGCATCCCATAGCACAAGGTGACTGACGGTCCAGTCGTTGAAAGTGGACTGAGACGGTTTGCTTCTGGAAGGGCATGTGCTGGATAATCAAGGAACATGGGTGAAATAATAACTGTAAAAACAAGGGCACGGGGTAACAACTGTTAAAGTCCCCTAGGATGCTTTAGGGATATATTATAAAACAGTAGCAATGATTGACAGGTGATTGAGAACATCAAAGTTAGAGAAAAAAGTTAGAAAACCACTTTGACAATGTGCAACAGGGTAAACTTCAAGGATTTTGCCTGTGAGTATCATTTTCCTTTTAATTCACAAGTATTGTCCCTGTAGACACCAGATGGAGCCTGGAGGAGAGCCACAGAGTACAAGACATAAACTCACACAAGTAGCCCTATGGCAGCCAGTCTTCCAAGCACTGGTGTCTTTACTAGAATGGAGGAACACAGCCTCAAGAACCTTTTATGTAGACAGCTCCTTGGTGAGTTCTTTTCTATCGCTGTAAGAAAAGTGCATTTGAAACAGCGTGCATCTACAGGGAGCAAGCAACAGTATATACACGCACAGTTTTGCCCTGGGGCTATGGTAACTGTCAGCATCTGTCAGAACACAGCTTGCAGAGATGTGGACCATCTGGACACACTGAAGAACATGGCATCAATCTGTTACATCAGTGACACCACACTGATTCAGCAGATGGACACAGAGAAGCTGGTACCTTAGAGGTCTTCATCCGACATAAGTGCTTTAGAGGGTGGGAGATGCACCAAGGGGCTTGCCACATCAGGAAGGTGTTGACAAGTTCGGAGTCCAGGGCATACCAGGACATTCCATCCAGAGAAAAGGACAAATGATTGCATCTTGCACCTCCCACCACGAAAGAAAAATCATAAAGCTTGAGAGGCCTCTTTAGATTTTGGACAGAATATATTCCGCATCTCAAAATATTGGCTCAGACTGTATACCTGGCGATACAAAGGATGCTCAGCTATAGGTGGAGCTCAGAGCAGAAAAAGTTTGCAACAGTTCCAAGCTGTAGAGCAGCCAGTCCTGATACGTGGCTATTTGTACCATCTCAGTGCCACCAATATTAGATGCTATGTAAAGTTCATGGCAAATTCCACAGGGAGAATTCCAACACAGCCCTCTGCGCCATTAGAGCAGGGCCATACAATATGAAACAGAGATTTATGGACCTTTAGAAAAACACTCTTGGTGTCCTACTAGGCCAGATCACAGGACAAGTGACCACACATCAGGTATTACCTATCAAGAGCTAGATTCTGTCAAACTCAACAAATCACAACATCAGACAGGCAGCAACAGTTCATCCTAGGGTAAACAGGTATCTCTGGGACTGAGCACAGTTATGGCCTAATGGCACAGCAAGGTGCATTGGCTGGCAGCCTGAACCTTGTATCCACTGCTACGCCAGCCCCTCTCCTCCAGTTCACATCAATGGCTGTAGGCAGGATCCCTTACAAACTACTGGACTGCACAGGGAAAATCTCATATGCAGAGGTTCTGTTAATTCAGGCTGAGAATGCAGGGCAGCTGCATACATCCTCACTTGATAGCAGCTTTTTAAAAAAAAATGTATTTAGTACAGGGTCTACAGGGTCTTACTACACAGATCAGACTCAGTGATCCTCCTGTTTTCAGTCTCCCAGGCACTGGGATTACAGGTGCGCGCCACAACGCACAGTCTCAATCATGTCTCAGTGTACCCTGGGTCGGGGCCAGCCCAGCACATGGGGGATGGAAACCCAGTCCCTGTGTCTGCCTAAGCCAGCGCTTTAGTCTGCTGAGCTATCTGGCTGGCCCTTGACAGCAGCTTTGAAGGACAATGGTCAAGGGAAACCTCATGAGCAGAGCTTTAGATGTGCTTGGCCATCTGTTTTGTGTGGGCAGGGAAGTTTACAAATTAGGTAATGATGATGAGTACAGTGATGAATGGCCTACTTGGCTCACAAGTGGCCACAAGTGGCCTGGAAGAAAAAAAGATTGGGGACAGTCGATATGGGACAGAAATATGAGGTTAGATATATGGATTGAAGCAAAGTATAAAGATCTTTGTATATTGCATGTTCACATCCACCAGAAAGCCTCCACCGTAGAGGCATAATAATGAGGAAGACAAAAATGTCCTGACCATTTAATTTCATCTAGATGCTGTCATTAGCCACAGCACATCAAGTGACCATGGTGGCAGAGACAGAGGCAGAAAAATCTAGCAGCATAGGCTCCCACTACAAAGGCTGACCTGGCTTCTACTGTGCTGAATGAGTCCCTGTCTTGGGGTGACGGCAGACCCCTCCACCCTGGCAAAGCGATAATTCATCCTGACAGAACTAACTATATTCTGGGTACTGCTTACCTTTCCCTCCTGCCAGGCCTCAGTCAACACCACTGGTTTCCCAGTACTGGACCCCAGGCAACATTTCATCCAATCACAGTTCCAATTTACTTTCTGCAATGGAGGTGCAGAAATGAGTGCATGATCGCAGGGCTAATGGGCTGGAATGGTCTGCTGAGGGTCACTGGAACTTGCATCATGGAAGCAGTGCTTTAAGATGGGTTTATCTTCCAAGATGCCATGTGTATCTATTGTTATATGGCGCTGTAACTTGGTTCCTTCTTTCCTCCCTCCCTCCCTCCTTTCTTTCTTTTTTGCTGAAGCAGGGATTGAACTCAGGCCCTTGCGCTTGCCAGGCAAGCACTTATTTTACTGAGCTATCTCCTGGCCCCTCTGTTTCTTTCTTCTTTGGACAAATATTTCCACAATTGCTCACTGAATAGCTACAAATATAAGTCAAATAAAGGAAACCACTGTCACTTCTTCTGCACTGCCCTGCTCTTCCAGGATCCACTACTGCTCTCAGGACGGGGATGGCAGAGGCCTGGGAGTTGCCAACTCTGCCCATGGTAAGCCTCTCCTCGGTTGTGTTTTGCTTTGTCTTTGGTGGGAAGGCAAGCAAGAACACTATTATATATCCTAATTTTTATTTTTATTATTTATTTATTGCGGTATCGGGGATTGAACTCAGAACCTTCCACTTGCCTGGCAAGTGCTTATTCTACTGACCTACCTCCCCGGCATATATATATATATATATATATATATATATATATATATATCTCCTAATTTTTAAAACCTGGTTCTAACAAAAATACTCTTTCTGGTTTTTACTTAAATAACCGTTGCTCTCCTTCCACCTCCATGGTAGCTAGTTTGACTTTAGGGGACTGGGGCTGAAGGCAACGCGGAGATCTTGGAGGGTAGACAGAATGGGACGGTGTCCACACCTCCCGTCAGTTGATTGAATTTTCCTCCTCTGGAGAAGGGTAACACAGTACGGGGCGGCGCTTCTACAGTGACTAAAAGAAACCGGAGAGCAGGGGCGGCCTTTGCGGGGACAGATGATCAGTCAGCCTTTGGCCTTGGCACGCCCCCGCCCCCCCCCACGCCGCAACCCCCTTGGGGAATCCAGAGATCAGCCGGAACTGAAACAGCTGCAAGGTCCCTAGACGCAACTCACCTTCGCCCCACTTATAAACCCCGCCCCTATCTGTCCGCCGTCCTTATTGGCTGCGCAGCCGCCCAATGGGCAGGTGGGAACAGGGAGCTCAAGTTGTTCGCTCGTCTCGCGAGAGCGGGTTACCCGCGGTGCAGCGCCCCGGCGGTCCGGAGATTGAAGCGGAGGGACTACTGGGCTGGTGGCGGCAGTGACCATGCTTCGGGCGGCAGTTCCGGGACAGCTCCGGCGAGCGGTGAGTCCGGACGGAGGCCGAATGAGGGCGTCACGATCTCACTTGCAGTCTCCGTGAGGGTCTTGCTAAAGTCACCGGCCCCTCGCGGGGCGCGGGCCCAAGGTTTGGGGCCTGCTCGGACGTCTTCCGGGCGCCCGCGCGGGTCAGGGGCTGCGACTCCTCCTTCTCTCCTGTCCCCGCCCACCCAGGGCTGCTTCTGGGCACCTGCAGGTGTAGGGGTCCCTGCGCTGGGTGACAAAGGGTCGAGAGCCCCCGGTAGGGTCAGAACCCGGTCCGCGGGTCCCTGGAACGTCCTTCCCTGGCCGGACGGGCAACCCATACTGTTGCCGGCCGATGTACTTCTAGAGCATCAGGTTGTTGGTGAAATAGCAAGGGCACTGTTGACGGTGACAGGTGTCTTGATGGCTTGAGGAGTGCCAGGTCCCAAGTCCAACACAATTCTCTCTCCCCCTCGGAGTACTCACCAGATGCAAAGATTGGGGGAAAACAGTAGGTGGGGACTGACAAGTCAGTCATTTACATTGTGGCTTCTGTACGCTTTTCTAATTTACATTTCGGTTAGGTTAGAGACAGGACTGTCAACTTTAGGTGAACATTTTTCCTCTTATTTCGCAATGCCTTTTTTTTTTTTTTTTGAGAGGGGGATGCATTTTGCAACTCGCTGCTCTTTGTGGATGTTCGTAGACATTTTCCCCCCTTGACCTCGTTCCATAAAAACCCCTGACTGTGCTTCCTCTTAAAAGTTCAAGGTCACGTTCTTCGGGTCAGAGTCCTGCCTTTCCTCCAAGAGATTTTCTTTTTTTCTTTAGAGGAAGTAGACATAAACAAGTTAGAGTCACTTTTTTTTTTTTTTTCTTTTTTGGGAAAATTCCAGTAACTAGAGCCAGACTTTGAGGAGAATGCTTGTCTCTGCAGAAATTGGAAGGCACTTACCTTCATGGGCAGTTTACATGTCTGGTGTAATTGTGCTGGGGGAATTTAAAACTCGGTATTTTCGTAAAACAGAAAAGGGAATGGTTAGTTTAAGTAACTTACTGTCCACAGTTGGCCAGTATTGCTAGGTTTCAAGCTTCTGTTGTGGCTTATCCAGGACTTTGACCTTGACTTATTTTAAAGTTGGAAGTCAAGCTTAGTAGGGGACCTGCCCTAAAGTCATTAGTATGGCTTACTAGTTTTCAGTACAAGCAGGTAAGAAGTAGGGGGAATACTCCTAAGATGGATCTAGATATAAAGAACACATATTTAGCTTCTTAAATTTGGAAAGAATCTCAAACGCACAGAGAAGCTGCAACAAAGTACAAAGAATTCTCAAAACCCTTTCCTGATTTTGACCAAGTCATAACAGTTAGGCACATTTGCTTTCTCTTTCTCCATAGTACAGACTACTGTATTGTCTTTCTAAACTACTTGAGAGTATGGGGCAGACATGCTCTTTGCTCTTACGTGATTGTGTGTTTTAAAAGAACAAGGAGGTTCATTTTACTAACTACAGTGTAATTGGCAAAATTAGGAACTTTGACAGTGGTACAGTTTTCTATCTATAGACGTACAGATTTTGCTAGTTATCTTGTTAGTATTGTTTATAGCAAATTTTCCTGTTTTGGTCTAAGACATTCCAGATGCTTGGCGTATAGTTTTAATGTTTCTTAAATCTTTGTTAAAAAAGTTCCTCAGCCTTCCTTTGGCTTTGATAACTTTGACGTTTTTGAAGAATACAGGCCTATTTTGCAGTCGGTTCCACTATTAGTTTTAGCTTCTCTCACAGTTAGACTCAGGTCCTGTGTTCTTGACTGGGATATCACAGAAGTGATCTTGCTCCGTGTGCCATGTTAGGAGGTACATGGTGTTTTAGCACATTACTGGTGATGTAAACTTTAGTCACTTAGGTTAAGTTGTTTAGGCTGTGACTTGTTTGCCAGGTTTCTGCACTCGGAAGTAATTATGCCTCCCTTTGTAATTTTTACCCAGGTGGGAAAATACACTGACACTAACTTTTTTGTTGTATGTTTTTCCTAGCCAGTCTTCGCATCTGTTGGTCATTCTTGCCTGAGAAATGATTACTAGGATGCAAAAATGATTTACTAATTCCATCATTTCTTCTACATTTTTTTAATATCGTGTTATAATATATCATGACAGCAAGCCTTTTAGAGACAACTACCCAAACTGCAACCCAAAACCCACTTATTTATCACAAAGTGCCACCTCTTCAATTAAACCTGAAGATTGAAGTTTTTGTTTAGAAAAAATAACTTACACATTTATATCTTTTATCTTAAAAACAAATAATGTGTGCCATAGGTTCGCCATCACTATACTACATGGAAGAACATCCCCTTGTTTATTCATGTATTTGTGAACTCAGGTATCCTTATTTAGCAGGCTATCATGTCTTACTACCTTTATCAGTACTTCAGTACTCAGGTTGTCTCATATTTGAAAAGTGAACTTACTGGCCATTGCTTATGTATATATTTATGATATCATAAAATCCAAATGGCTTATCTCAAACCCTTTTGAAATTTAAATAATTCTTTCTGCAGTTAAGTGGTTCACCAGGGATATAGCTCAGCAGCACAGTGTTAGCCTGGCAAGCATGAGGTCATGAGTTCGATTTCTGGTCCCCCCCCATAGCTAACTGGTTTTGTTTATGAAGAAGATAACATTTTAAAAAATCAAACAGGGGCTGGAGAGATGGCTCAGTGGTCTAAAGCACCTACTTGGAACAAGCTTGGCAAAGCATCAGGGACCGCGGTTCGATCCCCCAGCACCACATGCCAGCCAGCCCCGCCCCCTGGTGGACTGAGCTGGCCACACACACACACCACATTCTCTCTCTCTCTCTCTCTCTCTCTCTCTCTTTCTAATAAATAAATAAAAAAAAAAATTAAAAAAAAAATCAAACACAATTTTTTAATAATAAAGTTAGAAGCTATTGGGGCTGGGGAGATAGCTGAGTGGTATAAACACCTGCTTGGCAAGGTTAAGGACCTGGGTTCGATCCCTGTTACCACATGCTGTGCTGGCCCTGAAACCCAGGTGCACTGTGCTGCTCACCGAAAGCAGGCGGGGTGGTACAGTGCTGTAATCCCAGTACTGGGGAGGCTGAGACAAGAGGATCACTATGAGTCTAAGCTGTGTAGTGAGAACCTGTACAAAATAAATAAGAGATTAAAAAAAAAAAAAAAAAAAGGAACTATCTTTACAAGAAAGATAACCTGCAACTATTACCACACAATGTGAATGTGTGCTGGACATAGTGGCATCCAGCTGTAATCCCAACACTCAGTAGGCTGAGGCAGGAGGGTCTTAGAGAGGTCAAGGCCAACCTGGGCTACTTACTGAATTCAAGGACCAGGTGGAACCACGTAGTGAGACCTTGTCTCAGTTTTTTTAAATGTGAATATAGTTAGCGCCACTAGACTTCACACTTAAAAATGATTCTGATGGTAAATTTCGTAGCTTATAAAAACCATAATTAAAAAAGATTAACCCTAGACTGTTAGGGTGTTAGTACTATCACTAAATTCAGTTTGCAGTTTGGACTGATTCATTGTCCTCCATCTTCAAAAGGGGTCCTGTTAACAAAGTGATGTTTTTGTTTTTTTTTTTCCTGCCAACACTACAGAGCCAGAGAGCACACTAAGAGCAATACAGGCAGGTGTTTGCAGTCAGTTAGCATCCGTGACAGGTTATTAGTTCAGTCTGACTTATTTTATTAATACTTTTAGAAATTTGTTGACTAGTAAGATGCCAAAGACATTTTCTGTGGAGAGAAAGCAACAACTTTCAGGATTGTTAATACTGTATCCATGGGCAGATGGCAGGACTGTCTATTATTGATACTGTATCCATGGGCAGATGGCAGGACTGTCTGTCATGTTTGAGAAGCTGTGACACTGGTATGAGGGAACAAGTCATGTTTTAGAGTCCACTGTGCGGCACTGACAAATGAAATTGAACCTTTTTCATATACAAATTTTAATTTCTTTTGCAAGATGGAAGCTAATTTTGGTGTCATTCTAAAAGAAAATTTATTGTACAGTGAATTCAGTAAAATTGTGTTTCCTGCCAATTTGTTCTGAGAATCTGGTCTGTTATAGTAAAATAAATTGACTGTTTTTAATATTATAATCAATGTCATATGACATTTCTGGTCATGATTAAAAGCTGCTGTATTTCATTACTGAAGAGGTTAAGTAGTTTAAGTGCAGAAACATTTAAATACAAATTAAGGACAGAAATACATTTATTATTACAAAATGTATGTTAACATAGAGATAGGTAATTTTATTCTTGCTGTTTTATTTTGGTGGAGTTCAGAAATAAGAAAACCTTTCAAGTCCCTTCTCCCTGTGACCAGTGAGTTTCCTAAGATGACTAGGTTTAAATTATCCTTGCACCTTCAGGTTGTGAGTAGCTTCTCAGGGTTAAAGCAGAGCCCAGTGGTTTTCCTTCGATAGTTTTTGGTCATTCCCTGCCTGAGCATGCAGTTACCATCCCAGGAGGAACCCCAAGAAACTGAACAGCAAAAACTGTGTCAAGAGTAGTTGAGGTTGAATAAGAGAGAGGAGTAAGTGGGCTTGTTGGACTTGAACTGTACAGGATTGTTGGTTGCTGTGAAGAAATGGATTCAGAGTGGAAGTGAAAGCCTGTTTGCTCTCATATGAGGAAGGAGGGGAAGGGAAGGTGGGGAAGGTGAGGCCGTGTAATGGGTTTCTGTTCTTTTCAAAGTTTGTCTCTGAAAGGGTGCAGAGAAGAGAACTTTTTTTTTTTTTTTTTTTGGTGGTACTGGTCTTTGAACCTACACCTTTACACTGAAGTGCATGCCCAGGCCCTTTTAATTTTAGTACTTATTATTTTTTAATTTTGGGATAGAGTTTCTCTAAGTTACCCAGGCTAGGCTTGATCTTGAGATCCTCCTGTCTCAGCCTCGGCATTACAGGCAAATGATACTGTGCTATGCTACATGATAACCTCTTTTTTTAAAAAATTTTATT